GCGCCCGCGTGCTGCCCGCACGCCCTGCCGCACTGCGGAGCCCGCGGCGCATGCGCCACGCTGCGGACCTGCGTGCTCACTGCGTTTCAAACATGATGGGCCTAGATTGGGAAAAAAAAAGTGAGGGGCAAGGAACGATAGAAAACAGTACAATAAAATATACAATATGAAAAACTCCCTACTTCGTATTATCTCTCCGTTGCTCTTTATTTACATTTTGGGTTTCTTATAAAACAATTTTCTATGTAATGCAACAGTACTAATACTAAATAAATAAATGCAATAACGAGAACGACAAAGGTGGTCTTTCGATTTCAGAGAAGGCCTGATTGGCTCCCTTAAGCCTTATACACAACCCCAAAGCAACTGCTATGGCTCCCTCTTACTCTTGGAGAATAACATGAGTCACCAGGCTTGATTTGAAATGTGCATCCAAAGTAGATGCAACTGAAGATGATAAATTGGAGTTGACCAAAACACACTAAAAAACCAAAACAACCAGCAGAAACAGATTAAAAGTATTTACACATTATACAGCTGATTAATGTCACTATGCAGTTCAGGATGGACTTGAGCTCACTTTGTAGCCCAGGCTGGCCTTGAACTCACAGTGCTCCTCCTGCCTGAGCCTCCCAAGTGCTGGGATTACAGTCGTGAGTAACCACGCCCGGCCCCGAGAAAAATTTAATGGCCACAAGTTTCCACTCCAAGGTAGAGTGACAGCTAAATTACACTAGTGACACATTGACATTGCTAGCACCATAATTAGTAAAAGCCAAAGTGTTACCTAGGTGAGTACAATGACAAAACCGATTAATTTAGAAGCCATTAGAACAATGTGAAATTGCCTGGAAACCAAAAATAAATTTCTTGATAACCAAAAAGGAACACTGACAAAGAAAGAGGGTAAGGTACGGGTAAAGAGGTAAATGGGGGAAAAATATTATCACAAAGAAATACTGATCAGATTGAAGGGGAAAACACAGTAACACCATAAATTCTGTAAATATTCTGCCTACCTTAGGTGAGGAAAAAAGCAGATTAGAGAAAGAAAAAAGGTAAGTACATGAATATCCTGCGAAAGAAAGCAAAATAGTTAATGTAAAGCTGCTTCATCGCAACAAGAGTGAAACGTAAGGATAAAGTGTTTGACCTGCAGGGGGCAGCAAATGACTGTGGATCCAGGACTAAGGCATCTCCGCTCCCCAGTTAAGGAACACCTTACGCCCCAAAACATCTTATTAAACAATAAAATAAGGAAAGAAAGGCAGCCGGGTGTGGTAGTGCCCGCCTGTAATCCCAGCACTTGGGAGGCTGATGCAGGAGGATCGTTGCGAGTTCGAGACGAGCCTGGGCTACAAAGTGAGCTCAAGACCAGTCTGAAGAACTCAAAACTCTTTCTCTAAAAGACAAAAAAAAAAAAAAAAGAAAGAAAGAAAGAAAGGGGGAAAAGAAAGGCATAATAAAATGACTGGCTAATTATTCTTTCTTATCAAATTTTCACCTCAATTTCAACTACAAAAAGTTCAAACATGGTAACTCAAATGTCATGGATAATTTCTATCTAAAAATCGTACTGCTTGTGAAGAATTCTTTTAAGAAAATAAATCTATAAATTTTCAAAGAAGATTTACTATTAACGCCCAATGTTCTAAAACAAACTATAATGTGTAACAAAAAAAAATTATCCGAAGCATTAATTTAAAAATCCAATTAAAAAGCCTGGCATGGGACACACACCTATAATCCCAGCACTAGGGAGGCTGAGGCAGGAGGATTGTTGCAAGTTCGAGACCAGCCTGGGCTATTAAGTGAGCTCAATGCCAGCCAGAACTGCATAGAGACCCTGCCTCAAAAAGACCAAAAAAAAAAAAAAAAAATCCAAGGAAAAGCCAGACACAGTGATGCACACCCGTAATAATAAAAAAAACTACAATATGCAATGAAACTGTGAAATTAACACATGTGGAAAATAGGTATCAAAGGCCACATATGGGAGGGCAAATTATGACAATTAATTAAACTGTGTACAATACCATAAACAAGGACTCTCCATAACGAAAAGATGGAAAAAAAGAAAGGGAGAAAGGAAAGGTATAACAAAATGACTGGTTAATTATTCTTTCTTATCAAATTTTCACCTCAATTCCAACTACAGAAAGTTCAAACATGGAAACTCAAATATCATGGACAATTTCTATTTAAAAAATCTTACTAGGGGCTGGGGATTTAGCTCAGTGGCAAAGCGCCTGCCTGGCAAGCACAACGTCGTGAGTTCGGTTCCCGGTACCGGAGCAAAACCAAACAAAAAAAGTAAAATAAAATAAAAATAAAAAAATAAAAAAATCTTACTGCTTGTGAAGAATTCCTTTAAGAAAATAGATATCAAAGGCCACATATGGGAGAGCAAGTTTACTTTTCAAATATCAACAAGTAAAAGAAGTAAAATGGCCACAAGCGATTGT